TACCTTGTTAAATTCCCTTTTTAGTTTTAATAGGTTTTTATAGATTCCTTAGAATTGTCTTTCTTTCTTTCTTTTCTTTCCTTTTTTTTTTTTTTTTTTTGTTTTTTGAGACCCTGGGCTGGATTCGAACCCGCCACCTTAGGTGTATGTGGCTGGCGCCTTAGCCGCTTGAGCCACAGGCGCCGAGCCCCTATCAGTTTTTAAATGACCCAATTTAAGTGATAGGATAGTGCCCAGAAAAGTAAATGCATCCATTAAAATTTTGGAGATGGGATAACGATGATGAAGGAGGAGGGAGAGGAAGAAGGAAGAAGATAGCTAGATGATAGCATTTACTAGATTCTAGAAGCATTTCTCTGAGCCTTTTGCATGTAATTTTTTCATTTAATTTTCAAAACAACCCTATGAGATAATTATTATTATCCTCATTTTACAAATGAAGAAACAGAAGTACCGAGAGGTTAAGTAAATTCCCCCAAGGTCCCATAAGTAGTAGGTGGTAAAGATTGGGTTGGAGTCCAAGGTGGCTGTGTTCAAAGCCTGTTTCTAACTAGAGCAGTACTTTGATCTGTTATGGCATGAATCTATTTGTAAGGAGGCAGATGGAAAGTGTTTTTATATTTATTGGCAGCATCAGATTTTCTTCTTCCTATTAAACCACCATCAGTAAATGAGTTCTAATGTAGGGGAAAGCGTCACCACACTTGGCTGGATGTTATGTGCTGACATTCCCAGCTCCACAAGGAGCATCAGCTCTTGAGGACGGGACTTTGAGTGGTTGAAGATGTCTAGAGTAGCCACTTTGAGAGTCTCCCATTCCAGTCCTTGAGGTTCCAGCACTCTGCTTACAGCTGAAAAAGAACTCATAGACAGCTGTGCTTCCTTTGGGATTTTCATGGGGAAATTGTCACTTTTCTTGCCTATTGCTTGACATCTCCATGTATCCAGTTTCTCTGGGTTCAGTGTTTTTATAGGAACAGAAAGCTTCATCTTTTCTTTTGAATGAATATTCCTTAGATTTCCCACTTTCCTTGAGAGCACTAGATTTTTTTTAGTAATTAGTATCCTTTGACATAAAGGAAGAGAAGGAAAGGACCACCATGTGATCTATAGTTGAGGCTTAAGTAGAGCAGGTTAGGGAGAATCCTGGTTCTTCTGGCCTCTACTCTAACCTATAGTGCTAGCGATGGTGTGGGCTAGGAAACAGGGTTTTGAAATGTTTGAGCCACTTTGCTGGAAGTTCAGAAATTCCTAAAGCCTAGAGGTGGATGAATTGACATTGCTGATGACACATAAGAGCACATAGAGTATTTCAGTGAATTGGGAAACTGAGGCACGTAGATATTCAGTGATTTCCACAAACTCACACAGCTAAACCAAGGATTTCTAATTTCTATTTCTTTGTTGCCCTTGCTAGAGTGTTGTGGCATCATAGCTCACTGCAACCTGAAACTCTTGGGCTTAAGTGATTCTCTTGCCTCAGCCTCCCAAGTAGCTGGAACTATAGGCACCTGCCATAACGCCCAGCTATTTTTAGAAATGAAGTCTCATTCTGGCTCAGGCTGGTCTCGAACCTGTGAGCTCAGGCAATCCACCAGCCTTGGACTCCTAAGTGCTGGGATTATAGGCATGAGCCACTGCGCCTGGCCAACGGATTTCTAATTTCTAATCCTAGGTATGTTAGGCTGCCTCTCTCAACTCAGAAGTCTTCATTCATTCCATAAACATTTATTGAGCATCTACTATGTTCCAGACATACTGCTATGCATTAGGCTCTGAGAATACAGCAGTGAACAAAATAGAAACACACACAAACAAGGTTAGTTCCTTGAAGAAGATATATATCAAAGAACAGATTTCTAATTAGCAAGGGCATTCTATAAGAGTCTCTAAGATGGGATTTTTTTCGGATAGAGTTCTTTCTGCTTCATTGAATGTTCAGAAGCCTGCTTCATCAGGTAGGTCTGCCCAATCAGGTAGGTTAGTGACTTCTCAATGGTAGTTCTAAAACCCCCTCTTTTTTTGAGGTGTGTTTTTTGTACTATGTATTCATATGATTATTATAAGTATTATGGTGTATGTTCATCATGGGAAATTTATAAAATAGAAATGTGGAAAAAGATTTAAGAAATTGTTATAAGGCTTGGTGCCTGTGGCTCAAGTGGCTAAGGCACCAGCCACATACACCTAAGGTGGCAGGTTCGAATCCAGCCTGGCCCGCCAAACAACAATAATGGCTGCAACCAAAAAATAGCCGGGCGTTGTGGTGGGTGCCTGTGGTCCCAGCTACTTGGGAGGCTGAGACAGGAGACTCGCTTGAGCCCAGGAGTTGGAGGTTGCTGTGAGCAGTGAAGCCATGGCACTCTACCCAGGGGGACAGCTTGAGGCTCTGTCTCAAAAAAAAAAAAAAAAAAAAAGAAAAGAAACTGTTATAAAACTCTATTACACAGAAAAAGATATTTTGGGGTTTATTTTCTTTCAGTGCATGCTATTTTATTGTACACTATATTTAAGGCATTCAATGTATACATGTATATAATGATATTTGTATACATTGTGAAATGATTACCACAACCAAGCTAATTAACATACCTGTCACCTCACATAATTACCATTTGTGTGTATATGTGTGTGTATGGTGAAACACTTAAGATCCATTCTTAGCAAATTTCAAGCGTGTAATACATTATTATCTATAGTCACTATGCTGTACATTGGATTTCCCAAACTTATTCATCTTGTGACTGAAAATTTATGCCCTTTGACCAAAATCCTTCATTTTCTCCTAACTCCCAGCCCCTGAAAACCACCATTCTACTCTGTTTCTGATTTTGACTTTTAGTAGATTTCACATATAGGTGAGGTAATACAATATTTGTCTTTTTGTGGCTAGCTCATTTCACTTAGCACAATGTCCTTCAGGTTTATCTGTGTTGTCACCAATGGCAGGATTTTACTTTATTTTATGACTGAATGACATTCCATTGTGTGTATATGTGAGGGCTGTAAGAAAAGTATCCAGCCACATATGTGTATTTTTTATATTATGTTACTAGATACTTTCTGGACAGCCCTCATTTACCACATTTTGTTCATCTGTCAACAGATACTTAGGTTGTTTCTATGTCTTGGCTATTGTGAATAGTGCTACCATGAACAGGGGAGTACAGATACTGCTTTTGAGATACTGATTTCATTTCCTTTGGATACGAAATGAAATCTACCCAGAGGTGAGATTGTTGGATTGTATGGTAGTTTTTAATTTTTTGGAGAAACTCCATAGTGTTTTCCATAATGGCTACACCAATTTCCATTCCCACAGATGAAGTACAAGTGTTCCTTTTTCTCCACATCCTCACCAGTACTTGTTAGTTGTCTTTTTTTAAGAGTAGTCATTCTAACAGGTATGATGTGGTATCTCATTGTGATTTTGTTTACATTTCTCTGGTGACCACTGAGGTTGATCACCTTTTTATATCTCAGTTGAGCATTTCTATGTTGTCTTTGGAAAAATGTCCATTCAGGGCATGCTATTTGTTCACATAGCTGTGATTATATGTGTATTTTCTCTTAACTTGGATTCTTAAGTCCCACCTGTCATCTCTTTGGACCTGTGATTGTGAGTATAGGCTTCACCACCAACATTGACTGATTGCCTGTTTTTTCTGTTCCTTTTTTTTTTTCTTACAGCTGTGCTAATGGTCTTTTCCCTGATATCTGTCACCTATGGGGCTACCCTTTGCAATATGTTGGCTATCCAGATTAAGTACGATGACTACAAGATTCGCCTCGGGCCACTAGAAGTCCTTTGCATCACCATTTGGCGCACGTTGGAGATTACGTCCCGCCTCGTGATTCTAGTGCTCTTCTCAGCCACCTTGAAGATGAAGGCTGTGCCCTTCTTAGTGCTCAACTTCCTGATCATTCTCTTTGAGCCTTGGGTTAAGTTCTGGAGAAGTGGTGCCCAGATGCCCAATAATATTGAGAAGAACTTCAGCCAAGTTGGCACTCTGGTGGTGCTGATTTCCATCACTGTCCTCTATGCTGGCATCAACTTCTCCTGCTGGTCAGCCTTACAGTTGAGGTTGGCAGACAGAGATCTTGTTGACAAAGGTCAAAACTGGGGACATATGGGCCTGCACTATAGTGTGAGGTTAGTAGAGAATGTGATTATGGTCTTGGTTTTTAAGTTCTTTGGCGTGAAAGTGTTACTGAACTATTGTCATTCCTTGATTGCCTTGCAGCTGATTATTGCTTATCTGATTTCCATTGGCTTCATGCTCCTTTTCTTCCAGTATTTGCATCCATTGCGCTCACTCTTCACCCATAACGTAGTGGACTACCTCCACTGTGTCTGCTGCCACCGGCACCCTCGGGGCAGGATTGAGAACTCAGAGCTATCCCCTGAGGCTGAAGCAACACAAAGCATTGTCTGATTCTATCTTCTGGGTATTTGGGGATGGATTGAGGGTTGTCAAACTCAGCTATAACGTTTAAGGAGAGGATGAGGCTCATGGGTGAGTACCCATCAGGATGTTTTCTTGAGTTTTCTGTTAAGCCTGTCAGAAGAAAGAGCAACCCAAAAATAGCTTTTTAAAGATTTACTGCTGTATTTGGACACCAGGGATATTCATTATATGATTGGAAGGGTCAGAAATACCTTTCACATCCCTCCTACCCAGGTCAGTTGGGTTAACTTACCTCTTAGCACCTTAGACTCTCTGTGACCTTTCATATCTGTCCATTTGCTTGAGGCAGGGCTGAGCTGACAACCCAGAATCCCACTAGAATATATCCTGACTGATCAGAGGGTGTGGAAACTTACTAGCTATGGATGCCTCCCAGGAAACATTCTGACCAATGTATAACATGCAACTGTAAGTGTGGCCAGGGTCTTTTCATTGCAATGAGAAACTGGCTAAGAGGCCAGGTGTGGTGGCTCATGCCTATAATCCTAGCACTATGAGAGGCTGAGGTGGGAGGATTGCTTGAGCTCAGGGGTTTGAGGACAGCCTAAGCAAGAGCAAGACCTCATCTGTATGAAAATAGAAAAATAAGCGACGCGTGGTGGTGCCTCCCTGTTGTCCCAGCTACTTGGGAGACTGAGGCAGGAGGATCTCTTGAGCCTAAGAGTTTGAGGTTGCTGTGAGCTCTGACATCACACAGCAGTCTACCCAGGAGGACAGAGTGAGACTCAAAAACAAACTCTGGTTAATAGAAAACCCCCACTATTAAAAGAGCTATTCCAGAAAGGAATTAGCTCTTGTTAGGATTTTGCTAGTTGTCATTCAGCAAAGACCTCTCATTTCAATGGCCTTCATAAGCACACTCTAAGGAGGGAGTGCAAAGCAGGATTCCTTCAGGGCATAAGCCAGAGTGACTCTTTTTCTCAGGGACCTGCATGGGCCACTCCAGCTTGTCAAGTAGAATGGTTGAGTGAAACCTCTTGATTAGTGCCTCAGTAACAGGGATTCCAACTCAGCTTTTCTGTGCTCTTGGCATTTTGCTACTTGGTGTGGACCTTAGAGAAGCTGAACTATATAAAATGAACTGAAAATGTTTTTGATGTGGGAAGAAATGAAGCCTGCTTTGTGTTTGCTACTGTCTTGAGTATTTTGTTAATTTATTAATTTTTAGGGGAGAGAGAAAGTAATAATGGCTGAGACATCACCTTCATATTGTTTGAGGTTGGGATGGATGGTTAACATTCCAAGGTAAAGTGAAGGCAGAGGAGGGAGACTAGATCACATTAAATCTTCATCAGTACTGGTTTCTGCCCGTAGGATTTGACTTTATAATAAGGAGCATATGTTTATCAACCCTCTGCTCATTCCTACACCACTAGTGGACGAATGCACATCTCCCTTTCTCATGTATCTCATGTATCTCAGTGATTAAATCTCATATTAGTTGAGTATTTTTAGGGGAATGTCAGCTGGATACTTCTAAGGCAACCAAAGAATTGAGGTTGCTATGGCCACTGCCTATTGGGCCTGTGTATCCCAGCATTTACCTAACTAATGCTTACCCCTCACAGTCCAGAAAATGGGAAGAATTCCTAATAGTGTATACCAGTTGTGGCCACCACAATGCTTTTTTCTTTTTTTTTTTTAAATCATAGCTGTGTACATTAATTCAGTCATGGGGTACAATGTGCTGGTTTTATATACGACTTGAAATATTTTCATCAAACTGGTTAGCATAGCCTTCGTGGCATTTTCTTAGTTATTATGTTAAGACATTTATATTCTACATTTAGTTGTAAACAATCTGATCTAAGGTTTTCCATTCCTATCCAATTTTACTCTTGGAACCATGCTATGAATTTATCTTTGGACTTTTCCCCCCCTTTTATATAGTGTCAGGACATTATGTTGGGGGAGTTCCCTCTTCTAAGTAGCAGGGCCATTACCAGAATTATTCTATTTCCTGATATGTCTAGTGTGTTTTTCCCAACTGGCTGCTGTTTGGGGTTGAAAGGATTGGATATTTAATTTGGAAGAAAATGTTGGCCAGATGCATTGGCTCATGCCTGTAATCATAGCACTTTGGGAGGCCAAGGCAGGTAGATTACTTGAATGCAGGAGGTCAAGGCCAGCCTAAGCAAGAGTGAGACCCCATCTCTACGAAAAATAGAAAAAAATAGCCAGGCATAGTGGCGCCCACGAGTAGTCCCAGCTACTCAGGTGGCTGAGGCAAGAGGATTGCTCAAAGCCCAGGAGTCTGAGGTTGCTGTGACATATGACACTAGGGCACTCTACCCAGGTGACAGAGTGAGACTCTGTTTCTTTTTTTTTTTT